TTCAAATCCCATCAACAGCGAAAATTTGGATAATCATCTATGTAATATTTGTATTATGTTAACTGTTACTAATGATTAAGTTAAGATACCTATAATGGTGATCGCACCAGCATGACTGGTAGGTCATGGAACATTCGTGTAACAGGTCACATGACATTGTCCTTTGGGACAAGGTTGTGGTTACATGAAAGAATGCAAACTGGCAATAGGCAGTGCAAACACTAGATAAGTCCTTGTGGTCGTGTAAATCCGTTGAAATTGGGTAACAAGAAGTCCATTTGGAAAGACCTGAGTAAAGAGATAGCCAGATCTTCGATGGTCTTACTGTAAAGGCTAGCCTTATGAAACAGATACCAAGGTTGAAGTAGCTGAATGGGCAAAAACCTCTAGGTGGGGGGTACTACCAACCAGGCTGCCAAATCGAGCTGAAGGAAAAGGATATCGGGCTGACCTGATATTCCAATGGATTGGTCGTAAGTCCTACTGGGCTATCTGAATTGGGAGTTTGGTAAACCGGCAGAAGTATACTAAAGTATTTCGGATATGCTATGAAGTAGATGCTAGAGTTTGTGTGAACTCTACAAGGGCATAGCAGTTTAATAGTTAGCCCTAACCACAAATGTTGGTTCTGCTATAGCAATACCTAGGTCAGTTGTAAAAATAGGTACAGAAGGCTCTAGGGGGTTTACCTTGAAGATAAATTAGTCCTAAGGTTGAGGACGATGATCTGGTACATCTGAGATGACCAGTAATGTTAACACAGGTTACAGGTTCAGAGGGTTTAAAGTAAAACACCCAAGCAGGGGTGTTAGGTATAGCAATTGGTAGAGAACCTTCAGGCAGACTCCTTAAATAGGTAATATAGAAAAGTTACACGTGTAGCCAATTGTACACTCTCTTGTAGTAGTTCATTGAACCACAATACTAACAAGTGATTAATAAAAGTCAAAAGACCAAAGAGGTCACCTTAATACCAAAAAAAAAAAAAAATAACAAAGAATTATAGCTAGTACTACAAGATATAAAAAAGCATTTGATTCAGTATCATTAGAGACACTAAAATTAGCAATAAAAAGAATTAAAATTCCTGAAATTACAATTATATTCATATTAAATTTGTTTTACAAAAAGCAAACTAAGATTATTACATATTGAAACACAACAGATACAATTAAAATTAATAATAGAATAGGACAAAATAAAGTTTTATCTTTACTAATATAGAGAATTTTTTACAATCTATTTCTAGAAAGAATTCAAGATGATTGTAATTTAGGTTATATGTTATTAGTATCAGTACTATATAATTATATCTAAGGTTGCTTCAGAAAAACAGAATAGAGACAGACAGTAGTAGCATTTGCAAATAACACAACATAGATTGCAAATAGTAAAATGCAAATACAGCAAATAATCAAGATTGCAGATGAGTTTTTCAAAATAGATAATATACAAATTAATAAAAAAAATCAAAATTAATTATTATAAATTCAAAAGAAAAAAAGAAAAACAAAGAGATAAATATTGAAGATGAGCAAATATAAAAGAAGAATACCAACAAAATAACAAAATTTTTGGATATTTGGTTAAATTGCAAGCTAAAAGACTCTCTAATTAAATTAAGAGTACAAGAAACAGTATAATCAACAATAAGAAGCTTAGACACTAAGAAAATAACAATAGCACAAGAAACAATATATGCATCATATCAAAGCTATTATATATATTGCAAACAACAAAGTTAACAAAAGTAATAGTTAATAAAATTCAAAGTTCTCTATTAATATTAGCAAAGAACAAACTAGAAATAGCAAAAACAACAAATAATAATGTAATATTGTATAAAAATTTAGAAAACTGCAATTCATTATAAGATTAATTTAGTATAAAGCAAATTTTAAGTTTTCATATATAACTTAATACAAGTGGTATAGAGGAATTAGTTACAAGAATATAAATAAACCAAAAACTATTACTAATTAGTGCAACAGAAAACAATTAGCATAACAGCTTTTTTAAGCTATGTAATAGAATTTGGAAAAACAATCTAGTATGTTACACAATACTAAAGGCCAAAGAGCTGCAAGTTATATTAAATTTCAGCAATCTAAATCTAAATTTAAATAGAAAAAAAAATAAAATTGCTGATTTGCTAGGTATTAGTTTTATAAAAAAAGTAGTATTAGTATTAAAAAAACTTAAATTAATATATATAGAACAATTAATTAGCAAGTCAGATAATTAAATATTATTATAATGATAGTTATATTTGTATATTGTTTGTACTAAGCTTCTATAAATAAACTTCTAACTGGTGACTATCATGACTACCAAAAATAAAAAAAAAAAAATAGTAAAATCTTGAATAATCTAAATCAAATTTACTAAATTATTTATTTCAGAATTACAAAACTTTAATAAATTCAAAAAAACTATTTGAAAAAAAACTTAATATAACCAGCAACCATAAATGAATATATGATTTGTTTATGCAAATCATTTAAAACATGTCATTAAATACGTATTTTATCATTGAATTACTTTTATTTTGTTCTGAGCATGAATAGCAACATACTTTTCTCTAAGACTATAAGTTTTAAAATCATGATGAACCATTAAAATAGCAATGTTTCACCTTTTCCAATGCCTCATTTTCTTTAATTAAATAATTTGTCTAAAATATAAATTTATTTATTAAAATTTTAATTACTAAAAAATTTTTTTAACTTTTAAAAAACTAGCTTAAATACCTGTCACGGAAAAACATCCTCACATATACCAAAGATTGAAACTTGATATAACGATTTGAAATAAATTGATCCCTTAAAGAGAAAAAAATTTAATTAAAGTTATGTCATTAATTAAAGCTACGTAGCTTATTATTAGTGCGGCACAACAAAATAATGAAATCCATGCGGATTTTGCGGCAACCGTAACCATGACTTAGTCCCAAGGGTGTGACTATAGAGAGGTCTAACTGTATAAGTCATAAGATCATAGGACAACACTGTTATATACTATATAACATTTATTAATATTAAATAATTTTACCATTTGGTAGGCCATTTATATTATTATTTAGTAACCCATTAATTATAACCGAATTTTTTTTTTATACATATCCTTCGATTTATCTTTGCGAGATAATTGGATGGTACAAGAATCATTAGATTCTATTCGATATTAAGTAATTTGTCACTTTACCTATCCCTACCTATCCCTTCACATTACCCCATTTCACCTTATAAAAATCAAATTTGATTAAATAGATTAATGTTAGCATATTAAGTAAGAAGATCAAAATATATATTCTAACAATTTGATATGAATTAAGTAACTTTTTATTAATATAGTTTTATTTTTTATTCTTGCAAAATATTTAGAACCAGGTTTTAAAATTTTGTTCTAAACCAAACCAAGTTTAACTTAGGTTTGTAACTTATCATACAAAACCTGGTTCATAAGTTTTGAAATTGGAACCTAAAGGTTTTAGAATCTAACCAAACCTAAACTAACTTTACCATCCCTAGTCATCCCAGCCTCCACCTGGATTGACATTTTCAGTTGTTTCATCCGCCCAATTACCACCAGAATCGCCAAAAGCAGGTGTTTCAAACGTTGTTTCAGTAGGTTCGTTAAAACCAGTAACAGGCTCTACAAATGAAGTATCAAAGGTAGTCTCGCCCCAACCGGGTCCTTCCACATCTTGTGTATCCCAACTTGATTCTACGATGTTTGTTGGCTTAGCAGTAGCAACCATGGCAACAGCAGGGTTAACACCACCAGGTGCTGTTGTGCCAGTTGCATCCCAATCACTAGGCGTTCCTTGTTGCTCCCAAGCAGTTTCAAATGGAGCAACAACTTTATCCGTTGCAGCAGCCTCGGCTTCTTTCTCTACTTCTTCTGGATCACGGTAGAAGAACATATCAACCATTACATCCCATGGAGAATCTCTTGTAATGGTGCCACGAAGACGAAGTACTTCACGAGCCAACAACCAATAAATTAAACCAATTGAATGCTTAGCCTTGTTATTGGTAGGGATCGCAACATCGACAAAACGAAGGGGAGAATCTGTATCAGATAATGCAATAACGGGAATATTAACATAAGATGCTTCCTTGATTGCTTGATGGTCAGTCCTCGGATCAGTCACAACAATTAATCGAGGCTCTTTGAAAGATCTAGTAATATAATTCGTAAAAGTTCCAGGAGTAAATCGACCGGCAATAGGCTGTGCACCAGTGTATGAAGCATATTTTAATACAGCACGCTGACCATATGGACGAGCTGAAATTATTACAACATCGGCAGGGTTTTCAATGGCAGTAATAATACGGGCAGCGAAAATCAATTTTTCCCACGTCTTGCCAATATTAATTATATGAACACCTAGGGAAAAAAGTTAAGCTATAAACTTGACGAATAAAATAAATAAAATGTAATGGATGTTTTTTTACTATAAAATATTTTAATAGATTATATTTTATTTTATTTTATTTTTTTCAAAAAAAAAAAATTTACCGTCAGCACGACGCTTAAAGACATAAGGGGTCATTTGAACATTTAAGTTTTTGGCACCGATATGACATTGCGCCGCTAGGAGGAGTTGGATATCCTCCTCTGTGGCTGTTTTTCCGATTTGTATAATAAACCGACAATTCACAAATAAATTCGAATGTAAAAGTTAAGTATCCATTCAAGCCATTGATACTTTATATTAATATACACTATTAACAAATCAATAAGCAAAATACCGTTCAAAATAGCTGGAAATTTAGACATCACTGTCAAGCTATGGGACAGTTTTCGCTGATTCCAAAAGAAGGAAAGTTCTAAGATGCTCAAGAAATCAGATTTTATAGGCCAAAAAAAAAATACGTCATCAAAGATTGAAGATCACTAATGTTAACGTTAACAATTAACATGTGAAATCACGTGCGTTGCTCAGCGATAGTTAGATAATCATTGATTCTAGAGAACTTGTCTTTGTAGGAGTAATGGGGAAAAGAAAGCGTTCTTTCCGTCCACCACCTACTTATGAGACAGGAAATGATAAGTTTGACGATCAAAGTGGAAGAATAAAGGAGATCACCACATGGGACGACGTAGAGCATGATTCAGAAGATGAATGTAAGAATTAGTTGGTCTCCCTAGACTTGTTATTCAGATCGATATTTACATTACATACCCTGCGAATAGTTTATGCCGGAAGGGATCAAATTTCCCTAGATACTCATGAATCCCACAAGCATGGTACGTTTTTTTTTTTTTGAAAGAGCATAGGAACATTTATTTTATTATAGTCCATAAAACAACCTTCTTTGTTAATAGACGAATCAGAGTTCTCTGAAGAAGAAGTATTCGCATTGGAGACGGCAGTTGACTCGGATGGAGAAGATGAAAATGAGTTGAACAACCTCGAGGAGGATGATTCAATTCTTGACTCTATGTGGGGCAGCCGCAAAGAAAATTATTATAATGCGGATGAAATTTCCAATTTAGATGATGCGAAGGAAGAGGAAGAAGCAGCATTAAAATTACAGAGGAAAAGAATTAGTCAAATGACAGAAGATGATTTCTTAGAATTAGACGGCGAATCATTGGAGTCCAGTATGGTATTTATTTATTATAATTTAATTAATCCAATTCCACACATACAATAATGCAAATATAAATTCTTATTAGATTGACAGAAAACGAATTGAAAGTACTGATAATGATCTCGATTTAATGTCATTTGATATGTAAGTCTTCAAAAAGCATGTTTTAATGTTTGATTATATCTTCTCTTTGAAATTGTAAAATTAAAAGAGATTTAAAGGAAAGTTTTAGGCAAAGAACATCAAAATTTATCACGTGATGATATAATTGAAATAATACAGTCTGAATCACCCGAACTTATTGAGTTATTAAACGAGTTTGAGGAAAAATCTTCTATACTACGGAATACGGTAACACCTTTGTTAGAAAAGTAAGCTATATGTATCCATATATTTTTTTCAATATTTCCTTTAAATGGTAATAATTTTTTTAAATTGGTTACTAGAGCTAGACAAAAAAACCTTATACATAATCCAGCCATGAAGTTTATATCAATAAAACATCAAACATTGGTTCACTATTTAATAAATATTTCTTTTTATCTGGCACTTAAATCTTTTGGAACACAACATTTACGCGAACATCCGGTGATAGATGCCCTAGTAAAATTGAAAATGACTTTGGTTAAATTAGAAAGATTGGAACGTAAAATTGGAGGATTTCTTGAATCATTTGTTGTTAAAGAAGATTGGAGTGATCATGATAATAATATGGCAGATGACCTTGATAAGGATGAAGAACCAATCGATCCAATTGATTTCTATAATATGGTGAAAGAAGCCAAAAACGCTGCAAAAGAGCAGCGTAAGGAACAGTTTGAGATGGAACATTGTAAAAATAAGTAAGTCATATATTGGTCATTTTAGTTATATCGCATGGACAAGAAATTAAATTTCCTTTATTTGATAAACAGAATTGTTTATGAGGATGTTATTCCCGAAGGTGCAAAACGTCAAATTAATTATCAAATTCTCAAGAATAAAGGACTTACACCTCATCGTAAAAAAGAGCAACGAAATCCACGCGTTAAACATAAAAATAAGTATGAGAAAGCAAGGAAAAAAATCAAAAGTATTAAACGTGTAATTTCACAGCAAGAGGGTTCTTATGGTGGCGAGAAAACTGGTATTAAGACTGGGTTGTCCAGGAGTATTAAGTTAGACTAAGTTTAACTTTTCTAATAGCTCCAAATATCTTGATGTATATTAAATTAAACAAGTCATTTGTCTGCCGAAATGATTAAATTCACCGCAATTTCTTATGCAATGAGAAATCTAATAATTTTTTAACGGCGGTTTATTGAGTAATTTATTATATTAAACTTTGTGACTAATGTTTTTAGTTTTTAATTAATGTTAAAAATTCCTCTCTAGTTTTCGCCTGTTCTCTAAATACACCAAGCATGACACTTGTGGTAGTAGAACTTCCAGGTTTCTCTACTCCACGCATCACCATGCATAAATGACTGATGTTCCAAAATTTGATTCAAAAATTTAATAAATATAATTATTAAAGACAATATTGCATTCATTAGATAGCATATACAAAAATAACTACATACGTAGCTTCCATCACAACAGCTACACCTTGAGGTTTTAGTATTTCTTGTAAAGAGACAGCGATCTGTTTTGTTAAACGTTCTTGAAGTTGAAGCCGTCTCGAAAACATTTCAGCGATTCGGGCGAGTTTCGATAAACCGAGCACACGACGATTTGGAATGTAACCTATACTGATCTGTTGTTTAAAGATTAGGAAATATGTTTATCTCAAACTTAGCATAGACAGTAATACGATTAAGATCTTACCTTCCCAGTAAACGGGACTAAATGATGTTCACATATAGAAAATACATCTATATTTTTAACAATGACCATTTCGTCATGATCTATTTAAAAATGCATATAATTAACGTACAAACAATGTGTGGTATATATACATATAAAAAAATTAAACATACCTTCTTCGAAGATCGCACCATTAACAATTTCTAATAATATTGATAAATCGATCAATAAATAAATTCTAGAAATAATACAGATAAATTGTACGAATTAGATTACATACGTTCAACACTCTCTTCATAACCTTTAGAAAAGAACAATAACGCTTGAGCACATCTATCAGGTGTTTTCAGCAATCCTTGACGTTTAGGATCTTCACCGATACATTCTATAATGGTTTTAATAGCATCCGAAAGTTTTTTTGTACGTTCCTCCTTAGAGCTATACATGGGTGTCGAAAATATTTTGCTCTTGGCTTAAATGATTTTTGACAATCAAAATTGTAAATAATTTAGTATGTCGAAAATATTTTAATATGCCGAAAATATTCCTGTATTAAATTTCATTTTTTGTGATCTCCCGTGATAATTAAATTCAACGTTAACCAATCAAAATACATAATTTTTAATCGTTACTGTATATCGATATACTAGAAAACGAGATACTGTATATTTTTTTTTTTTTCAACCAGGCGACTTCACAATAACGAGAGAGAGTTGTAATTGGTTAAAATAGAATAATCGAATTATCTGACAAATTATTCAGAAGTTGTCTGCATTAACTCCCTAATTTGTAATTTTGTAATACATGATATAGGAGTATGTTAGAGTAGGTGGCGTATTTATATGTGAAATTATGCGTCGAATACTTTTACTTAAGATATCAGCACCAATTTTCCTAATAGAATTTTGAGATATTAACGATTTTTTGTTTCTTTTCTTATACCCATAGACAGGGTTGGCAATGGAGTCAATGGAGCCAATTGTTACGTGAATGAAGCACAAAAAACCAGTATCCAGAGCTCCATTGGACTATTCGCTGTTCCATTGCCATAGGGTACAAATAGAAATCATTCAAAAATTATCAGTAACCTGTAATTTATTTATGAAACCACTTTTCGCGTCTTAATAAAAAAAATTCCTTGCGACATTTCTGTCATATTTTATCTTAATACCAGGGCTAAATAATTTGTTTTGTAGGTTTAATATGTTTTTTGTCGTATTTGATTTTCTTAGAAATTGTGAATTTCCGAACTCAGCTTTATAATTCATCAGGATCTGATCGCCGTTTCTGAAAGTGAAATTTCCGAAAATTAAGAATTCCAGGTTTCTCCTTAGCAGCTTTCATATCAGATCAGAATTTGTTACTGATTTTTGTAGATAATAAATAGATTTTTTTAAAAAAAATCGGTTAATATCGGCTATATAATCTTTTTTTTTTTGCTTGTAAAATGCCAATTACAACTGTTCTCATAAATTCTGGGGCGAAATCTAAAAGATTTCGGGTAATGAGCATATTTTCAATTTGCCCCAGAATTTATGAGAACCAACCGTAATACAGATATTATCGTTATTACAAATTTCTTAAACCGTCCGATTTAGCGTATAAATTTGTACGCTAAAATATTTTGAAGAAAATTAAATTTTTTTATATAAAATTTCTATTCTAATTTGTTGTGACGGCTCTTCAAGACGCCATTTTATCTATACTTTCGGGCCATCTTATCTTAACATAACTTTAAAAAACCAATTATGTAAAGTTGGTCTTTGATCAACTTTGTTATGTTATAAAGGGTCCTGTGTATGACGATTGGAACCTTGATGAGTGTTACGTACAGCTTCTTTTTTAGGGGATAGCTAAAGCCAGTGTCACACTTGAAATTCACCTCATAATAGAATTCAAGGAACTGGAAGATAAAAGTACGAAGATTATTCTCCTTAGTGACTTTGAAACGTCAAATACACTAAGACTAGTTCGAAAGAGGCAAACGATATGAAGATACAAGTAGGCGTATAACAGTTTATTAATAAAATCTTGAGTTACTTATGTATGAAGACACGATTACTCTTTATTAATATTTGAGGAGGGGGCTATTTATACATGTTGTTAGCTAGGTTAGTAATATATGTTAGGCTTTTCAATATCTATAATTTGCATGGAATGATGAATTTACAGCAGATGAATGAGCTGTATATATAAGTGGTCATTGCTAAAGACCTGGGAATGTCGGCCCGGAAGAGCGATGTGGTGAAGAATTTTCTCTTCATGATGTCGAGGGTTTCTGCTCCCCCCTGGCTGTGCGTGGCTATAATATAGCTCATTATTCATTGAATAATTATATCTGATTGTACACGTGTATATATTAGCGTTGTTTTTTTAAAAAATGTGATCACAAATCTAACTTATATTATCTGCTGTAGATGAATATTGGATATAAAAACGTTATGGGTTTAAAAACATTAAAAGCGTTGAACACACCACAAGAATCAACCCCTGATTATATGCGAGAAGAGATCGAAGAAAATCTTGAAGAATTAAATTCAAAACTTGGCGCCCCTATATCAAACAAAGATGCATCTCTTTATGATGCTCTCAAGAAAGGTATAACTTTATAAAACAATAATACCTTGTGATTAAAGATAGTTTTTATATATATTATTATATCAAGTTTAAATCAATAGTATAATTTTATTTGGACTAAGGCTCATATTTAAGTAAATTTGAACATAAAGAAAAGAAAGAAAAAAACAACAATTTTATTCAAAAACAAATTAAAGACAATATTATAGTTGGTAACTTTATGATATAAAAAAGTTTATTAAAAAAACCTCAGATTGACTAATAAGTTATTAGAGCCATAATAGTTCTAAAGTTGTATCTTACTTAAAAAAAACAAATTTTTATAATTAATATTTTATTAAGGTCAATTAAAAATATTTTAGAGTTTTATGTTTGCAATATACAAAAAAGATATTAATTTTTTTTTTTAATAAGAAAAAAAAAAAAAAAGAAATTTCTTTTAAAAAAAGATTTAAATAATGTATATGATACAAAAAGTTTATTAGAAAAGATCAATTAACTAATAACTTGTTAGGGCTGTGATAGTTCTAAAGTTAGCATCTTATTCAAGAAGATCAATTCTTATAATTAATATTTTTTATTATAATTATCAGAAAGTATTTAGTAGTTTAGACTTGTAGTATAAAAAAATATATAATTTTTTTTAAAAAAATAATAATAATAAATAAATTTTTGAAATGATAACCTGGATATAACCCAATAATGTTAATACAAATTGTAGATTTAGAGAGTTTAAAATAAAACACCAGGGAGTGTGGTGACCTAGTGAAGTGGTCAGGTTGTCAACCCTCCAAGTGGTAGGTTGGGTGTTCAAATCCTATTAACAGTAAAAATTTGAATAATTACTTATATAATATTCATATTATAGCAACTGTTACTAACAATTGGGTTAGGATACCTGTAATGGCAGTCACACCAGCATGACTGGCAGGTTATGGGGCATTCATGTAACAGGTCACATGACATTGTCCTTTGGAACAAGGTTGTGGTTATATGAAGGAATGCAAACTGGCAATTAGGCAGTGCAAACACTAGATAAGTCCTTGTGGTCATATAATTCTATTAAAATTGAGTAACAAGAAGTTCATTTGGAAAGACTTGAATAGAGAAGTAGCCAGATCATCAATGGTCCTACTGTAAAGGCTAGTCTTATGAAACGGATACCAAGATCGAAGTAGCCAAACAGGCAAAAACTTTTAGGTGAAGGGTATCACCAACCAGACTGTCAGATCAAGCCAGAGAAAAAAAATATCAAGCTGACCTAATATACCAATAAACTAGTCATAAATCCTACTAGGCTATCTGAATTGAGAATTTGGTGAATCAGCAGAGGTATACTAAAGTATTTCGGATATGCTGTGAATTAGATGCTAAGGTTTGTGTGAACTCTATAAAGGCCATAGTGATACTTAGCTCAGCTATAAAAATGGGTACAGAAGGCTCTGAAGAGTTTATCTCAAAGATAAATTAGTCCTAAGATTGAGATGATGATTTGGGTATCTGGGATAACTTAGTGATATTAACACAGATTACAGGTTTAGAGGGTTTAAAGTGGAACATCCAAGCAGAGATGTTAGGTATAGCAATTGGTAGGAAACCTTCAGGCGGACTTCTTAAATAAGTAATATAGAAAAGTTATATATATAGCCAATTGTATGTTCTCCTGTAGCAGTTCATTGAACCACAATACCAATAAGTAATTAATAAAAGTCAATAAACCAAAGAGAACATCTTAATAAAAAAATAAAAAATAAAAAATAAAACATCTAAGTAAGAATATTAGATATAACAATTGGTAAAGAGCTTTTGTACAAACTTCTTAAATAAGTAGTATAGAAAAGTTATATATATAACTATTTATAAACTCTTTTTGTAATAGTTTATAGAATTATATTACTAAAAAAATTATTAATAAAAATTAAAAGATCAAAAAAGTTATTTTAAAAAAATAAATAAATAAATTTTTTTTTATTAAAAAAAAAAGTAGTATTAGATCAATAATTAAGAATATTTTTATATATCACTCTCTTCACTAATCTACATTTTTATAAGAAAGCAAAATCAAAATTATAAAGAAAAGTAGAAAACTAGATTAAGAACAACATTTTGAACAATTAAGAAATAATTTCAAGAAAAAAAAAAGAAATAGACTTAGTTAGAACAACAACTCAAAATAAATAAAAGTATAATAGAAAATTTTGGACTTTTGTAAAATTGAGATAAAAATTTTGAAAAATTTGAAGATTTGACTTAGACTCTAAATAATAGTAAATAGACATATAACACATATCAACAATTATCAATAAACAAAGTACACAGAGCAAACATGTCCTATTTAGGAAATATAAACATATTAGCAAAATTAACAACAAACAAACTATAGGAGATTCTAAAAATAGTAAACATTAATAGAATAGTCTAAAAACAGGTATACAACTCATAATAGAAATGTCACATGATCAATTTTTAATTCAACATATGCAAGGAACAGATGATATAGTGTGTAGATATTTAAATAGTTGTAAGTTGAATCAAGTATTAAGAACAACTATGTACAAGAACCTAAGTAACATTGAAATTATAGCTAAAGATCTAGCAATTAATAATCTAAAAAATATTACAACAAAAAACTTAACACTATATGGCCAAATACTTAAAGCTCTTAAAGTTGAAACAGAAGTAATAATAACTTTACCAAAAAAGTTTATTAAAGATTGGGCCAACAAAATAAGAATGGCAAATCTTAACTCAGCATCAGTTGAATATATAGTAGGTATAAGCAAGAAGGAAATACAAAAAGAAAAAAAAAAAATGGAAGAAATAGAAAAAAATCAAAATGAAAAGAAGAATTTTAACAATAACATGTTCTCAAAGAAAAGATGTCAAGCAATTAATAATAAAACAGAATTAAGTACAGATGTTAAAGTCATAACAAGTCAAATTAAAAACTTAATATAGAATACCAACACCAAGAAGCAGAAACAAACTACTTTACAGAAATAAGAATAGAAGTTGAAAAAGAAAAAGTTAATGAAAATATATCAGTAGAACTAACAGAAACTGAACAAATAGAGTTAGAAGACTTTATATTATTGCCTACCTCCTCTTTCTTCTCGTTTTCCTTCTCATCATCAATCTTAATAGAACACAGTGATTGGTCTTCTAGATACAGAACATGTACAGGAAACAAGTCCTTCAAGGGCAATTTCCCTACCTATATACTACCTAGAGAAACAAAAGAAGAAAGAATCAAATATGTTCAATGGATTCTAGAAGAAAACAAATATATAAGAACAATCAAAGAAGCTTTTAAAAAAGGAAATAATTGGATTGAAGTTGACTTTGATTATGAACACAATAGAGATGAAGCAATTGAAAGAATTAGTAGAAAAGAAGAGGAATGGCTTAAGCTCATTCCAGAGGTAACAAAAAATAAAAATAAAGAAAAAGACCAAGTTAAGCAATCAAACATTAAAGAAAAGTAACCTGAATATAAATTGGATAAAGAAAAAGATAAAGATGAAAATCTTTTTGTTAAAAAAGAACTAGAAGAAACTTATGCCAACTATCTAACTATTTGGAACCTATCAGCAAATATAAATAGAACAGAATTAGATTTTATTTGCAGAAAAATTAAAAAGGCCAACATAGTTAAAATCAAAAGATCAAAGTACAAAGCATTGGCAGTAATCAAAACAGATAAATATAAAGACATACCTTGGTTATTATTAATAGGTGATAATAAACTAGTAAGAGTAATAAAAGGGAATGAAGATTATAAAGAAAGAAATTGCTAAAGTCAATTTACAGCAAAGTTAATAGAACTTTCTGGAAATGCATCAGAAGTACTTTTGCTGCATTGTTTAAAAAGTAAGGGTGCAAAGTCTGTTTATATTCTATTAAACAGAAATGGGAATTAAAGAAGAACAGCAACAATCACCTTTGCAATGAAAGAGGAAATGAACTTAGCCCAAACCAAACCAATCAGATACAACAACTTTAGAGTTTATTAAGTAATGAAAGAAAAGAAAGAAACAAAAAAGAGAGAAAGTTTAAAAAACAGAAGAAAAGAAGATATAGATGAATCTGGTCAAGATACTGATTCAGAAGATTATGAAAGTGTAGATTTTCAAGAAAACAAAAAATATAAAAATAGAAGAAGAAACAGAAAAAATGTAAATACAGAAAATCAAACACAAATGCAAGACCTTTTACAATGCATATTAATTAAGTTCAAAAGACTTAAAATACAAAAAGTACAATCCAAAACCTTTATCAAAAAAGGATGGCCATAATGCTTCTAATTTTCACTACAGTTGAACCAAAGAACAAGAGTGTAGAAACAAAAGTCTTTTTAATATAGAAAAAAAAAAAACTACAAATCAAAAAAATATATTACATCTAGAAGAAATTAAAGAAAAAACTAAAGAAAAAAATGAAAACATAGAAGGAATCAACTTAAATATAGCAGCACATAATATTAATAACCTTAAGAGAAATAATCAAAAAATGAAAACACTATATGAATAGCTAATTAACAATGAAATGAATATAATTGAGCTATCAGAAACAAATATTTCAAGCAAAAAAAGTTTTTTTATTATAAGAAATATGAAGGAATATAAAGGTTTTTGGGCAAATTCAAATCCAGAAAAGAAAAAGAGCTTGGGTGTTAATATACTTATCAATAAACACTAGGAAAAACATCTTGGAAAAATAGATAGAACAAATGAAAACATGATTACAGCCAACTTTGTATTTAAACAACTAGATATATTAATTATAATAATATATATGCCACCTAATAACAAAGAAGAATATAAGAAAATTCAAAGAGCAGTAATAGAAAAATACATCAAATGATTACAAAAATCACAGATAATAATAATAAGAGACTTTAATAGTGTAGTTAATAATGAACTTAATAGATCAGATAATCCAAAACGAAAGTTAGAAACACAAGATTCTCTTCTTAAATAATTAACAAACAGGAGCTTTATGACACATATAGAACAATAAATCCAAAAACCAAAAAATTCTCTTGGTCAAGTAGGAACTCAAGTTCAAAAATTGACCAAATATAGATAACAGAAGATTTATCATATAAACTCTATGATAAAGAAATACAGGAAATAGATATATGCACAAATAGTGATTATAATGTAGTACTAGCAAAAATAGATTTAAAACACTTAATAGCTACATGGGGTCCAGCAGAACTTAAAAAAT